GAGAAAAAAAAAAAAAAAAACAAAGTAGGAAAAGGAAAATTGAAACACAAATATTCCCCCTCGTTATACACAGAAAATCATATGTAGATGTCAGCATAGTGGCTGTAATGGCAGAAAGACATCCATCGGAGGTCCACCGTAACTCCTACGGGGAGTTAGAAACACCCGTTGACCAGCTTTGAGTCTATCGTGAGTTTGATTGCCATTCTCTTGTTCCCGCGGCAGTATATTACAAACACCGGCCGCATCATCGTCCGTGCCTGCGGCCCAATAATACGTGCAGTTAATATTCCGCGGTGGTTTATTGTACGGTGGGGCAATGACATCTATGAACAAAGCGGGATCATCACTCTCATTCACAATTTCATGCAGTACACCGCCGCTATCAGGCCCGAAGGACGTTACTAGCGAGAAAGGATCATCACTAGATAACTGGGCTGTGACGACACCTGAAAAAACAACGACACCCTCAATATTGTGGGGTTGACACAATAAAATCTTTTCTGGGGAAGTCTTATCCAACCAGTCAATAGAAGTCACGTGTAGTTTCCCAAACAGTACGCGCTGCCACACCGACATGGTGCAGTGATCGTGCAGCGGCAGCATTCCCCCCGGCGGCACCACAAACCAACAAACGACAACATCACTGCTCTCATACAATGTGCAGCAGCCCAGCGGATCGCCCACTTTCCCCCGCCATCGGTCGGGGCCTGTGGCGGTCAACGCGTCCTGCAGAGAAAAGACACTCGCGGCCAACGGCGTCTCTCGATGATTCACCCATTTCCACCAGGCGCTCTCCGGCACGTAACTTTGGAGATCCGACAGCGTCAGCTGCGCAAGCGCCCGCACAATCTCAGCAGAACAGAACCGACCACCGCGAGGCTGCACGGCAGCCTGAAGGGCCAACATCAGCGCTAATGAGATTCAGTACCGTTATTTCTAAAGCTCCACAGAAGAAAACAAAACATACACATACACAAATGAAAAAAAGAGAAAAAAGAGAAAAAGGGGAAACAAAAAGAGAAAAAAAAGAAATAAAGAAAGAGACGTGATTATTTGTACAAGTATTACGAAAAGTGATAATACACAGAGAAAAGACGTCCCCATTATAGTGAGGCCAAAAGTAAACCTTAACATTGTTTGTCTGTTGGTTTTTCATTTTTTTTTTTTTTTTCGATTTTTCTACGCGTTTGCCGTATATAACCGGCACAATGAAAATATAAAACCAAAACAAAAAGAAAAAAAAGAAAACTGACACAATCTCTATTACAGAAGAGCGGCAATATGATATCCAATAAACTGAAAGGAATATAACCTCTGAAAAGCGAAAAAAAAAAAATAAAAATGAAAATGAAAAAAAAAAAAACACAAATCAATTATAAAAAACGACATAACATATAAAATGGTGACTTAAAACGTCCTTTTGCTACCAAAGAACTAATATGTGGAGTACAAGGAGATTGATGAGGATGGGATTCCATATTTTCTATCATTGCCTCTGTTATTCGTCTATGCTGTTTTTCCTCACGTTCGATAATACTCCTTTCCTCTAGTTCTCCAGACAACACAGATTCACGTTCCCAGTAGAGTTTTTTCTTTTCATAAAAGCATTGGAGTTCATGCGGAACTGTCATCGTACCGGCTACATCAGATAATTTTCGACGACGGAAACGCGATCCTGCCGTTATTTCTGACCCCTGCAAATGAGACTGTTCAGATAAGTAAGGTCCAAACATCCTACAATCATACTCAGATACAGCTCTACAAACCTCTGATAAATTAACTTTATCTAAAGAGGGATCAAGTCGTGATACTGAATAGGATGTTTCATTCATGCAACTAAGTGATTTACGTAAACTATTATTACATTTATCTCTTTTTTGCAAACAATCTAATGCTCGTCGTGCCAAATGCAATGTGCTAGTAGTTTTACAAGATAAGTCTGAACGGGCATTTACCTCAGAAGTGTTTCCACTCTCTATCTTACGAAGAACGGGCAGTGACATTAATCGATCACACATACCTTCTCTTTGCGAATGTTTGTGATATTCAATAGCAGCAATGGGACGATTTCCATTTCTCGGCATCACTTGCAGATTAGACATCTTTTTAAGTGATGTAGTTTCATGATTATTTTTCTCTCTTACTGTTACTTTTTTCTGTAGTGATGATGACGAGACAGCATTTAAAAGACCAGGCACAAGATGAACAGTAATAGTCGCTGGCAGAACACCACCAACAGCGCAAAGAATTCGTTGAGTCTGGTCACTTGTTGCGGAATTATTTAAATCTACTTCAAAAGTCTCTGACGACAATGATTCCTGAGGAGGTGTAAGAATACCCAACGCTTCAAAAAATGGTTTACAGAGAATAGGTTGAGTGAAAACAGCAATTCTTTTAGGATCTTCTGTTTTGTATAAATCCTCATTCCATTGAACTATATCATCAGAAGGAACTACCAATACTTGAATAACCAAGTAACTAGTTGTATTACTAAAACTTCGCTTTGGACGATTTTGAATGGCTTTAACAGAAAGCTCCATCACATCTCGCATAGAATTCACTGTATGGAATGAAGTCTGAGAGAAAAGAGTCAGTTCTCGTACTGCATACCGACGCAAGTGCAATGGCATACTTGTAGGACCTGGCATTCGATATACCAAATCCATCCAAGAGTTGGCACTACGTTCAGTGAATGAAATAAAAACAGAGTCATGAGGTTCCTCTACTAACAGTGATTCACAGAAGCAAGCCGCCATTCCAATGACGGTAGTGCTATCGTCTACAACTGAAACAAGTTCCCCATTAAAGGAGGAAGGATAGCACATTGTTGCTGTGAAAGGTTTAGAAGCGATAATATCACTTTGCAAATGTTGATTTCTTCCAGGAGATGGATTTAAAAAATCCCCAGAACTCTTACCAGAATGTCCAGAGGATGTGTACATATTATCTGTGGACGGCAAAATGGATAAGGCGTCAAGAGAAACACCACTGCAATTATTATTGCTGACATTATTATTATTATTACTACTAGTACTATTATTATTATTATTAACTGACTTTATAGTACTCTCAATAGATCTGTCCACTAAAGTTTTACCTGATTTGCAGGACACAAGCACACAAATATCATGACCTTCACGGAATAAGGAAATTAACCGCTCTATTGCTGTATCAACATCGGTTCTCCCAACACATATGGTACTTGTTTCTCTTGTATGACTCCTATCACAATCCGACTCAGTTTTCGCAATTTCAATTCCAAGTTCTCCAGGGCATTCAATGGGTGATAAAATAGGTGTGTAATTCAGGCTATCCAAACCAGTGGTTCTTCCTCCCGAACTCATCTCCCTCCAATGAGGTAAGAATTCACAATATACAGTTTAAACACGTATAACGGAATACACCTCTAAAAATGAACCAAAAAAAAAAGAAGAAACAAATAGAAGAAAAGAAAACAGAAACAATAAAAAAGGAAAGGGATCAAGGGGAAAGTAAAGCAAAAAAAAAAAGAAAGAAAATAGAGAAAAAAACAGTCTTATTTGTGACACGGAGAACCAGTTCTTAACAACATGTATGTTAATGATAAACAGCTTACAGAACAGAGAAGGGGGAAAAAAATGGAAAAAATTAGAATAATAAAATAAAATGAAGAAAGAAAGAAAGAAAAAAAAAAGAAAAATCTTACAAACACAAGTATATATAAACGTGTGCACACACACATTTATATATTAACATTTATATATTTATATATATATGTTAATATGGCAGCACTAGGAATTGTGTGGCCATTCTTTGCTGTGTTAGTTCATTGTACCGCCTCAACACCATTCCTGAGACTGAGGGTCGTTGTGGTTTCACGGACTCCTCCGCATCAAAGTGAAGGCATCGAGCAGTGCGATCATCTATTTCGGAATGTACCGCGGCGTCCAGAGCGGAACGGGCACGTTTCTGTCGTGCAGAAGCGGAGGAGAATGTCTTTCTTCCCAAACTTCTTATTCCTGCGGTGGCTGCCTCTGTAGCTGCTGCTGCTGCGGCGTGCAGCTTCCTATCATCCTCTGCGTATATGGCGCTTGGCGAAAGTTGTTCTTGACTTAACTGCCAGCACCGAGGCGAAACGCCTTCTATATCGTGCGCGAGTAGTTCCACTGCGCTGAGCTCCGCTGGTGAGAGAAGCGACGAAGATGTTAATTGATCGGGCGTCAAGGGCAGTGTTTGTGAGAGGGACGCTGTGGAGAAGTCCTCCGGAATGGGTGAGACCTTCCCCAGAGCGGCAGCGGCGGCCGTGCACACATCACTCTTCTCCGCAAACTTCTTCTTTGGCAGCGGCGAGCGGCACCCGCAGAGTCCTTTTCTTTTTGGACTCGGCAGCACCAACTCCTCGTGCTGTGCGTGAGAGCCGCTCCTCTCTGGTGTACACTCCCGCCCTTTTTCCTTTTCTTCTATTTTTTCTTTTCCCTTCTTGTTCTCCTGGAGAGGTGTCTGCCTCTTCTTATCGTGATGGCTGTGGTGGACGTGCCAGAGGGCGAGTGGAGCCCCGCGGCTGAGTTCGCCGTACGCCCCGCCGAGTCTCTCGAGTTTTTGTCGCGCCGCCTCCCGCCCGCCGGCCGTTTGTTCACTTCTCTGCTGTTGGAGAATAGCGGCAGCGCGGCGGTGGGTGCAGGGCGTGTGAAGGGCAATGCAGTCCAACATTTTCTTTAATTGAAACCGCACGTCAAATATCAGAGAAAAAAACAGTAAAGGAATGAATTATCAACACTCAACGTGTGTGTGTGTGAGAGAGAGAGACGCTGTGGATACGTTGTCTATGGTAAGGGAAATACTTTTTCTATGCACGATCTCTTTTTCTTTCTACCTCTCTTTATATATATATATATATATATATATATATATATAAATAGATAGATAGATAGATAGATATAGATCGATATCTATGTGTGCGTTTACGTAGTGTTACGCTAATGTCTATGCTTCTATAATAAAGATCAATAAAAGATGCAAGGTGAAGAAACGTATTTTTAAAAGTTGATACTCTACAAGCTTTATTGAATGGATGATGATGATTGTTATTATTACTCACGTATAGTGAGAATTAAATACAAAAAACATTTACTGAAGAGGAGACAAAAACAGTAAGAAAAAAATAATAAATAAAAAATAAAATAAAAATACAAAAAAAAAAACGGACACAATTCAGTAATACCCCACTCTTCTTATTACTGTAATATGTCTATCTTTGAGAACGATCATATACGAAAACAAGTAATGCAAATGTATCTGTATGTGTTCCTCTACATTTTGCAATGAGCACATATATACTTTTGTATTGAACACATATATATATCACACACACACACAGAAAAAAAAAAAAAAACAATGAAAAAAAAAAAGAAATGGGTACAACAACAACAAAAAGATTAAATGAGATCCATATGTCTCTTTTTTTTCTTTCCAAATTATTCTTCAAGACGAGGAAGACAAACACATTCAAAGTAATAAATATATATATATATATATATTTACATGAAATGGAGCATTGTGAAGGCTAGAAACAAATACAAAAAAAAAAAAATAGAATTCCAAGTGTCACAGAAAACACCACTCAAGAGTGAAGAACTGAGGAGCTCAAACATCCCCATATCATCTGCAAGAGAAAAAAAAACAAGAAAAACAAAATGGTTAATACATGATTGTTTAGACATCACACAGTAAATAAATAAATATTAACATATATTCACACATCTATACAGAAATAGATAGATAGAGAAGGGAAAAAGTTCAAATTTCTATTCCTTCTCCGTACAGTATCCGGAATCTCCTTCTTCAGAAAAAATAATAATAAACAAATAAATAAGAAGAGATACAGTGTGAAGAACCCACGTACACGTACACGTACACAGACATATATATATATATATATATATATATATGCTTACAACTGGTACCTACTTGATGGCCGGCAGTATGAGGCGTGGTGATCTGTTTGCTCTTCGTGAGGGTGACAATTGCACGCTAGACGCAGCTGATGCTTTTCGAATATATGGTAGTGTGCCCGCATTATCGCGGGGTCTGCCGCCTTGAGAGAATACACTTGTACTTCCCTCTCTTTGCCGGCGAATGCTATTAACAGGCGAGGCATTGCGGGTTGAAGCGGAAACAAAACTGCTGGGATTTCGACTTAACTTTGAGGCATCGCCGTAGTAAAGATTACTACGACTCTGCGATCTCAGTTCATATTCCCCTTCTCCCTGCATTTGACGATACGGCCGGGGAAGCCGCCCAATCGAAAAGGGCGCATCATGTCGAGAGGCAAACCGTTCTTTATTTATCCGCTCCCTCCGCTTTAACTCCTGCCACTCTATGCGGGCGTATATATGGCCGTCCATGCAGACAGTGCTGCGGTAGAGAGACCGCTGGTCCTCCTCCTCTGTGCGGCTTCCACACACATCCACAATCTCCTCATTGTCGCCCAATACACACATCATCAGCGAACGACCACGGCCCATATGACAACGCACTATAATATCACCATCCGCGGTATTCCTGTCGTACGTGTCGAATACATATTTCCTTCTATTTTCCCCGGAACTTCCCTTTTCATGTTTTCGACTCGAATCAGGTGCGCCATATATTTTTGCGAGCGAGGTCATTCGTAGATGTGTTTTTTTTTTTTTTTTTTGTTTTTCCTTTCCCCTCTGTTTTTTTTTTTTTATTTATTTTTAAGATATGTATATGAAACTCTCTCTCTCTCTCTATCGTTTCCAGTCAGTATTGGTTTCCAAAACTCTATTCGTTATACTTTCCACTCTGTGACTTGAGGTACAAGAAATAATAATAACAATAATAAAAGAGGATAAAAAAAACAACACCAAACATAAAAAGCAGATAAAGAACACAGAGACCAAGAGAAAAACAAAAAAAAAACAAGTAAACGAA